GGGGGGGGGATGTGGATGAGGGTGAGGGTGAGGTTGAGGATGAGGATGAGGTTGAGAGAACTTACATGAGTTACTAATTGTTAGGTGGTGGAGGGTGGGGTTCGATACGAGTACGGTGAGGGTCTGGGTCCAGGTACGGACCAGATATAGGTAGATAATGTACTGACCGGCTGACAGACTGACTGTGTTTGGATTCCAAATCATTCAGTTATTATTCAATCGATCAATGAATCATTCATTCATTCAATTAATCAATCAAGCAAACTATGAATCAATCAATCAATCAATCAATCGCAGTGCAGCCAACGTGATGATTAACTCCTGTTGGAATGAGGAAGCTGATCGAGGAGGACTTCGACTTTCTTTTGAGGGTATGAATACATATAAATATCCCATTCTTCTCGATTATACACAAGCCCGTGTTACTTATCACAATATCTGTTTGATAGAGCCTTGTGAAGCTTGAGGAAAGGCTTTTGCGAACCATGGGTCGCATCGCATTCATGTAAGCACCCTCCTTCCACTCACCGATGTGTAATCCAGTACAGCAGGTCCACGTTGTACAATGTTGAGTAATGAAATGACCAAAAAGTTCCTAAGTCCAATGCCCTAGAGGAGACACCGACGAAGACAGCATCCCAATGAAGCCTCATGTCGGCGCAGCGCCTCAGATTCAGGTCCAGGTATTGCAGATATATAATAAACTGAAGTAATATATATAAACGCGGTACCTCGCCTGCGCCTTTCTGGCCTGGATCTTACTGTAAGATGCATATAGCAGGAATCCGCTGTAGTAACGGGATTTCAGCATTTCTGCAGTGATCGGTTCAAGCAGGGCGACCAATCTCGCACGGATGCGATGCAGCTTTTACCTTTTCAGCCCTATCCGTGGCCCTCAGTCTTACTTTCGCAACCATGAGCAGGCCTGGGCATCCTTTAGACCTCATCTATGCCTGTATCGATGTACGCTATGCATACGAAAGAGCATTGCTTCTAACCGAGTTCGAAAGGACAGATTCGAGCATGTCTTGAATGTGATCAACCCCTACAATCCAGCGTTTCTGCCTTCAAGCCTCACTTCAATGAAGGGCCAGCGTTCGCCGTCCACCAAACCATATAAAGCTGTCCGTGACTGCCCTGCTAGCGAGTGCGTCCCGGAGAAAGGGAGAGGTCAAGACAAAGGACCGGCCGTCGGCCCCTCTCATAGGCGTATCACATACGCTCAGCTGCCAGCCTAGTCCAGCCTTGCTTCCTTCGGACTTCGAATTGTTGGACATTACTGAATCTCGCTGGATGGCACAACTAACTGAGGCAATCATAATACGAAGCAGTACAAGAGCACGAATACTGGTACGCAATGATCGGGTGAGATCCTCAGCTCCGTCGGAGGTACGGAGTGCCTTTCCCGTACTACCGGTACCATCAAGCGAGCCACCCCATATCCCGTAAGCGAGCATCCCCAAGTCAACCAAAACATTGCCCTGAACATCAACAGAAGCTGTGCGTGTCCGGAGAACTTCAAATTCACTTCAAGTGCCGAGACTTGGTTGGAGTGAACCGAGGGTGTTCGCATGCCTTCGATCAGTCATTTGGATGCCGCAAATGCACGATTGAAAAGTTGAGGAGTGGAGATACGGGTATGGCCCAAATTCTTGACTGATATTTCGCCAGTATAAGACATTACAACTTGCGACTGCATGTTGGGCTTGCAAGCCAGCCGATAATGCTTCGCACACCGCCTCTCTTACGATCTGGTATGGATGCAACACTGGGGGGAAAAGGAATATGAATCGCCTTATCTTCCACTGGCTGATAATACCGGTACATACATACTACGTATATACAGTCACCGCTCCTTGCTTTCTGGATTCCCCGTACTCCGATGGTTCCAAGAGCCAGGCCTGCACGGGTTAATCCAGAGAATCTACTTATACTTTTTGAGATTCCAAGGAAAACAACATGGGGTCAGGTCCCCACGCGATCCGGGTTGGAGGGCTTAACTTGCCCATCAACCTATAGCAAAAGGTCAAAGCTCCTTGCTGTTGTTCACTCTGTTTTTCTATCGATCTGGCTAGAGATTAACATCGATGCCTTCAAAACTATGAAGAAAGAGCTGGAGCTGGCTAAGAATTGATCGTTCTGCCTACGGGATTCTAGGGGCCTACCTACCTACCTTTCGCTGCACGGTCCGTTGCGTAGGCATATCGATCTTTCACCGCAACTTGGAAAGACAAAATTAGAGCGACCCCGCCTGTATCCGAAAAAAGAAAAGCAAACGTTCCAGCTGCACGACAACAAATTGGGATTATAGGCTCCATGAGCAGCATGATGCATACATCCTATCGGCCGGCCAGGAGCATCGAGAATCGGGACGGAGGAGCGGAGCCCGACCCAAAATCAGCCAATGCACACATGTGCACATACATGTACGTATATGCCGACAACCATCTACCTATCTATAGCCCCTGATTACTGTGCCAACTTGAATTGAAGTTGTAGGGGGATATCGTTTAGAAAGAGGCCTTGGGATGGGGTGGCTTGACGTGGCCGCTTGCCGGGACGTTATAAAAGTCTTATAGCATTCCATTTCGCTCTGTGAAGTTCAAAGAAATTACTGCCAAATCTACAGTCGTATAGCCAAATAAATATACTCTGAGGGTTTTGAAGCGGAGAGCGTTGATCATCCATCGGAGAGCTTCCAATCTAACGTTTGTTGCACGCCGCCGCAGCCAGTACTGACGCATTATTGATCTTCAAGACCTTCTCTCCCTACTTTGTATAGAGTTGAAACAACTGCTCTCCCTGTTTCCAATCCTCGGGGTGTCATTTTTTGGCCAGTACAGTAGTACAATCTATGCTCGTCCCTCTCCCGCCATTACACATTTCTCACACCCATTCAGTACACTTCAAAAGACAAAAACCACTCTTCTCCTCCTATCTTCGTTTGATACAATACAAGCCAAGCCAAAATGCTATTCTCTCTTATCACTACTCTCTTCACCTCTTCAGTATTCGCTGCTCCGTAGGCAATGACACCAGAAGATATAGAAGACACTGACCTAGGTCTAACTGCTCACAAAAGCTAGAGTTAGTTTGAGACAATCCTAGCGAAAGATGTAATTAGTGGCGAATGCTTCGAGGATGCCAGTTTTGATGCGCTGACGACGAAGTGCGTAATTATTTATCTTTTTCGCAAATGGTTTTTCAGAAGAGTACTGACAGATATCAGGCATATATTCATATATATGTGTGTGGCTGCGCCGAAGAAATTCACCTGTGAAGGAAATCTTGGGTCTCGTATATGGTCGGGGAAAGTTTTGGCGGAGCGCGAAGGAGTACGGCTTAGGACTTTATCAGCATCATCATCGTCCTTTTCCAGCTGCAGCGCTGCCGATGAAAACGGTTCATGTCGTGAAAATTGGTTTCTTGTTTTTCCAAGTTTGATAAGATACCTGCTTTCTTATAACACGCTAGAAGTTGGGAAATACAACAACAACAATAACGACTGTAACCGGGAGCTCGCAGGTTTTCAGTCATATTATCACGAGTACTATAAAGTAAACCCATATTCATTTCTCTACTTATGATTAGTTCGCAACTAGCGTAACAAAGAGAGTAACTTTTCAGCTACAATACATCCCAAATAGAGAGTCAAGTTTACGAAATTAAAGCGTTGCCAACCATACGGATACAGAGCCTGGCAGCCCCTTTCACCAGTTCCGTAGAAAGATCAACGCATGGGAACATACTTACTGGCCGCACGAGTAAGGGTGTTTCATTTCGCTCTAAACAGTTCAAACAATTGCTCTCTCTGTTTCCAACCCTCAAGGTGTAATTGTTTAGCCGGTACAGTAGTACATGTTCTCGTTCTCGTCCCTCTCCCGCGACTACACGTTCCGGAAATCTACTCATCATATCAAACTTCAAAAGACATTTCAAAACACAGAGATAGAATCCACGACCCTCCTCCCATCTTCGTTCAATATAATACGAGCTAAGCCAAGATGCGGCTCTCTCTTGTCACTCTCTTCGCCACCCTGGCTTTCACCTCCTCAGTATTCGCCGCCCCGAAGGCAAAGCCGTAAGAAGATCCCTCATGGGTAGACAGTTTTGTACCAGACCCAAGTCCTGCCGCCCCCGGCGAATGAGTCTTCCTCAAAGATGGCCTCCACCGTAATTTTGTAATAGCATGCTCAACTCTTTATTTTTCTGCAAATAATACTTGGAAGAATACCGAAAGATATTCAGGCTGCGCCGAAAGAAGCTGCGAAGGAAATCTCGGATCTCGTGTATAGTACAGGAGAGTTTTGGGGGAGCGCGAGGGAGTACATGCTTAAAACTTTTGTCAGCATTATCCTCCTCCTCTAGTTATATACCGGTAGCTGTTATGGAATACGGTCCACGTCGTGACAAAGGGGGGTTGTTTTTCTTCCCCAGTTTGAAATAAAACATTTGCTTTCTTTAACTACAACCGAGAACTGTAACCGAGAACTCGTAGCTTTTCAGACAATGATTATTACTACATAGAAACTTGACAAAATGGCGCGCGGGGCTGTTGACTCCACAAGATCCACGCACTGCCTGTATCTGACACTTCTAATGGCTTCGGCGTAGTTTTGAGGTCTATTGTAATCGTCTGGGCGGCCTGTCCTTTTGAAGTGTCCGATGGCCTAAGACACTTAAGGCACTTCGGGTATCGTATTAACCCCGATTTAATCACATTTCCTAGTAGTAAAGCTATGACAATTTGATCGTGAACTCGCTCGATTGAGGCTATTGCAGATGGACCCACCCCGAATATGATAGCATGCTTTACCTATTGATCTATTCGTAGAATTGCATGCAATAGAAAGGGTGGTGGTACGCAAGCTGAGCACGGAATAGTCGGAGGAGAGAGTTTTGTTATCGGTTTAAAGCCTATCTGTTTCAGCCTTAACGCCAATTTTATGCCGATTCGAGGCGTTGATAATCACGAATTTTATATTGTAAATATATATAGAATGTTGCAAACCTGAATACCGTATCAAAATGCCGTTGCAAGCGTCCTCGGCTATCAGAAATAGCGCTGTTTCACGCTACTTTTGATAGCCGAGGCCTCTATTTTAAGTCGATTAGATCAGTTTACCTATGGTGCGGTCAACCCTCTGATCAGTTACTACGTCGCAGGCGTAAGTATTACCCCTCGAGGGTAGGGAAAACAGGGGGTTTAAAGTGGAAACTAAACTTTTAAGGCACCCTCGAGGGGTAATACTTAGGCCTGTACCGTGGTAATATACAGAGATTACGGAGTGGACGTTATTGGCAGCCCCATGCGCCATTTTGTCAAGTTTCTACGGTATTCTTAAAATAGTTCTAGTTTGTTTACTTATATATGAAACTGATTTTGCATCAGCCAAGTCGAAGATGATTAGAAGGGTTACCAGCTTCAGCCTCATCAGCTATACTTAGTATAATGTGTGGTACGAGAGCAAGGTCTTCGAATTAGGTCTAAATTGTGTACGAGGAGAGAAGAGATTCTAAGGTATAGGAGGAGATAAGTTCTCAAGTGGGGTCCATGCGCGCCCTTACCTTGGCATTCCTTGGCCGAATTGTTTGTTTTATCCCCTCACATATAATACGAGTATAAAAGTCATTCTTCTCCCACTTGCTATCGTCAACCATCCAACACATTCGTTTTTTTCCCTTTGTATCATCAACTTTCAATAACATAATACTCTATATCAACCGTATACATTAACAAAATGGTCTCTACCCAGTCTTTCCTTAGCGTGCTTTTGTAAGTAGCTTATCCAACAATCTATTCTTCAACAGTCTTATATAGCTAGCTTGCTAATTTGGCCTATTGCTTCAGTATCTTTGCGGTGGGCGCGCAGAGCAGCTATATTTGTGTATGTGGAGATAAGATCGAATCCAATAATGTCTGCGACACAATCGCTAGCACACACGCATTCTTCAATGGGGAGGAAGTAAGTGATTTTAAGACTGAACAAAGTCTTTTCAAATCCCTTCATCAAACCGCCTGATATATATGCTAATCTACACAATTCTGTAGTGCTCTCTCATTGATTACAACTCGAGGGCTTCCTACGCTTTGAGATGTCTTGATCGCGATATTGGTGGCATTGTAGCATGTAAAACACTATGAGCGCCTCTCGACAGCTTTTCTTAGATGGAAGCAAAGATCCTCTAACTTTCGGTAACAAACGACGGGGAATAATTCTTCCTCGAGGAGGAACTTTTGACGAAAGTTGAAGGTTGAATGCGACGGACGGTATATACCTCTATTACTACCATGTACTGCGTGTACCCAGAGCTCTTGTGTAAATATTATGCTTAGCTATATAAATTCCGGTCTTTTGCGCCACATTTTCACTTATATAGTAAGCCCTTTCGCACAATTTGCGTTCCGCATCTCTTGCTGATTGCTCTCTATCTCTTGCGGCGCTGAGAACTCGTCCTGTGGCTAAGCAATGGGAAAGAAATCCTCTCGTGGGCCACACTCACGCTGGTGATGACATTGACGCGCGTTATCCGGGCTACCGCTCTGACGAAAAATGGGATCTCGATGCTCCAACTGGCCCAACATGAGTCGGAGTGCAGCCAGTCATTTGCAATGTGATTGTAGGTGCGAGTTTCTTTTGCCGTTTTGCTAATCTGGCCAGCCGACCAAGCGGTTTGCACCAGCCAGTCATTATTTTTTATTGTTTCCAACAGGATCTCCAAAATTAAAATAGACAGAGCTTCAAATATTCCTGAAACTTTGAAAGGCTGATGATGTTCAAGCATAGTGGATGCTCCAAATATCAGTGACCTATCACATCTCCTTCCCTGGCTTTCGGCAGCTTTGCATGGCTGGCTGCATATATTCTGCTGGCATCGACAATATTCACATACAATACAGTCTTTCGATCTTGTATCTATACGAGGCCGACAATCTTCGCTGTGATAATATGTTTGTGGAGTTTTGAGCATCGACCTGCTAGCACGATGGCCAAAATCTCACATCATACGCATCATGCTCGCTCTCGAAAAGATATACAATTCACCTTCTACATACCGCTGCGCAACTCCCAACGTGGCACTTGTTTTCGCTCAATATTTAAGATCTCCAAAAAAAAAATCCCTCTAATGCTATCACCCGCGTCTCGGCTTTCATGCTTCAGCTGGGCTGAGGCGCCCCAGGTGGGCCGTCTGACGCCGTCAGAAGCCTTTCCGCGTACCTGCCTCCCATAGACCTCCCAAATTCAACCAGATACAGGTCCGAAGCCATGGGGAATCTAAACGTCCTATTACGAGACGGCTGCCGGCTTGATGGAAATGTGCATTCCGACCCACTCTTCCTCGTCAGGGCGTTGTCTCCAGACTATCGAAAGCTTTTGTGCCGTCAGACTGGATGCCTTGTCCTCTACTACACCTTCTCAATGCTCTGGAAGGATATTGTGACATGTCATCCTGACCTGAAAGAGCATGCGATTGCGTCAATCAAAACCTTGCTCGAGAACCCTTCTATCTATCACCCTCTGAACTGCGTCAAAAAATGCAACAAAAAAAAAATCAATAAAGAGCTGAAGTTAACGGAAAGGTCATTAAAACAAGATGTTATGGGGTTCCAGTTTACAAACCTAAATCACTAGGTTTGACGGCGAAGAAGGAAGAATAGCATGCAGCCGGTAGATCTGCCGGTTGATCAAAGCGGTATATATATGCACTTACCTAAAGCAGGTAAGAAAGAATCCTGAACAGTAAGCTGGCAAGTCTAAAAAGGCTCTCGGCTGTTCTATCTGTTTGCATACTGCCATCATAACGTGTAGACAAGTTTCTGGATCTGTCTTTCTTTCTTTACCGTGGCGACGATTTGGCCTATCTAAACCGACGCGTCCACCTGCCAAAATGTCCTGGCTGTGCAAGTTGAGCGACCCAATCCACGTCAGACTCGGACAGTCCGAGTTAATGATGTATGCATTGTTTCTTTTGTTTTTGCCCCTCCTCCTGCGCCTCGGGATCAACACCGAATTGGCTATGTTCGGCCAGACCGAGGCTCGTTCCAAGCATCCAAAATGCGATTCTTGATCTATCATGATATCCACTTGCGGAAAATAGTCGCGAGATGTCAAGTTCAAATCAGATATTGGGGCGATTACTATTTCTAGGAGCTGGCTACTGTAGTAGCCGTTGTACAGCGATGCTAAGCTTAGCGAGATTCTCTCGCCACCTGGATCCCATGCACTTTACACGCGGCGTCCGTGGAGATATTTTCTTCTTCACGCACCTTCGCCCCCTTCCGTGCTTCCATGTCAGCTTTCTAGTCCAACAACCTCCTTAGCTCACCATCGATAATCTGCTGCCTTACGCTTCTCATGTCCTCTTGGACCGGATCATATCCTCCTTGGGGCCTCGATGTCTCATTGATGATTACTCTTGCGGTTTGGCCGAGGTAACAAGATAAACACCCATACGCACACCAGGTAGCCACAGCTCTACTGTCACCCGAGTCTATCGCCGACCACTCCTCGCCGGTATACTCGTAGGTCTGTGCCAGCAAGGAGTAAAAGCTCCAGCCATTCAGGTCCTCGATATTACTATCCAGCGTGGAGACTGGTCACTACCACCACCGAATCAGAACTAGCCTCTAGGCATCCTCAATTCGTCCTCCTGTCCCGTCCTTCGGTCACCATGATTTCTATGAAATGTCTTGCCCGCTTGGGGGTCTCAGCACCATCCAAACCGGCATCGACCACCCTCTTCGTCCTGGAAAAGCACCCATGGCTTTATCTAGCGTGTTTGCCTTGGGGTCGAGAAGCTCTCCCGCAGTCACATGTGGATACGATGCCTGGCGGCGGCAAAGATCACCGCGGAGACCCCCCCTACCACGTGGCCAAAGAGAGCTTCCTTTTGGCATCACAGCTATAACCAAGTATCAGAGACGGACTTGTCGCAAGACCCATCCAAGGCACAAGACTGAGATGCTGAGACGAGGGTGCTGGCTGCCTCGCCGGGTTGAGAGATGCGCTTGGGATATTTATTTTAGACTCCGTGCGATGAAAGGCTGGATGGTGACGGCGACGTGAGGCTTATCTGCGCTATGAGCCAACATCAGTTAAATTCGGTAGGTAGGTAGTATGCACTATCTTCCATTACCGTGGATGGCGTTGTTGATACCGACACGCTCTGTGACGAGGCGTTGGGGTCGTGTGGACGCGGCGACAGTGAGGTGAGGCTGACCTTGTGCAGGTCTGCTGGCATCGGCATAGGTATTATCGGGTGTGAGCGTGCCTGTTCTGTCTCCGGGTCGTGCCTTGGACCGCATCATGCTTGGTCTTGGGCCAAGTGACCACCTACAAGATGACTTGGGAATGGGGAAAGATTCAGCCCTGTGTATGGACTAGAACGGTCACGGGCCAGGCTTTACTGGAAGGAAGTCATGTTCGCGATGTTCTTGTAAGCTTGCCAGCTTGCTTGCTTTTTTCTCTCGGCTTACTTCGACTTCAGGCCTCCTTTCCAGTTATCCATCCTGCGCCAGTAGAATGTTCGTCGGGGAAGAGTGGCAAGATGAATCTTCCCACAATATGCTTTACAATTCTTTGTATGTTATTTGATCGGCTCATCGTCCCTCTCGCCTTCCCATCCTAGGGCACTCAGCATACACCGAACATTTCTCGAGTAAGAAAGGCCTGCCATTCCGTTCCAGTTCCGCCTGACGTGATCATCGCGTTTTTAAAGGCCCCGTTGCTTCGGCAATGAAACGATAACACGTATCAGGGAAGGGAAGGGATAAGGTTTTTCGCACGCAGCAGCTTTGTTGTTCTCGCTTACCTTACGGGATATAGTGAGGCTGGATCACCCGGTCTTTCGTCTTCATTCAGGGTTTTGGATCCTCTACGAAGTACAGTCCTGCACCTACGGCTGACCCCGATCCGACCTCGATACTAGTCGTCTTGCGACTCGAGCGTAGCCATGATATTACGATGGCCACGGCAGCTTGCGCCTGCCTTACTCTCTTTCTGGCCTCTTTTCCTTCAACGAGAGATCCTCCTCTCACTGTGATCCATCCTATCTGTAGGGGAAGGGCGCAGACGATAGTAGCTTTTGCTGCAACACTTTGAACTTCTTTCTGAGTCTGTGTTGTACGTAAATCTTTAGCTTAGCACGTCGCCGTATCCCATGGGAGGTCACATGGCGGCACGCCTAGCCTGCTACCCGCCCGACGTCAATAAATACAACAACAACAACAACAACGAAGTACAGTCTCAACGCGAGGCCGCAACTTCTCTAACTGCAAGCGACGCACGATCAAGCGATGCGTCTCGAGGATCTGCGATCATGTTATCGGTTATACAATAAGGGAGGGGTGGTCGTATGCCATGTCGTGTTATACTCGCTAAGAGATATTGTTGCGGCTGCGGTTGCTGTTGCGGTTGCTGTTACTCAGCATCCTTTGGGTAAAGTTCCCCATCGGAGCATAAGGCTGGTGGAACACGTAAAGAAATGGGTTTCGTCAAATGCTGTGTTGGTATGACCGGCGGGGGTTTATGCTATATCACATTCACTGCCCGCTTACATACACTTGTATACTTAATATATGCTTGCACGCACATGTACACACCCATCCAACTATCCATCCATCTATGTGCCCTACCTTCCTTCCTACTTTCCTTCTTTCCTCCCCGTATAAACAACACAGGCGAACGTAGCCCTTCTCCCCTCCTATGAAATCGCGACACAACAACACAAAAAGTGATCCACTGACTCCTCTTCTTGTTTCCCAGAGCTCGGTCACGATACGATAGCAGCTGCAGCATGCTGTATGTAGATTCGACAGGTTCTGAATCTGGCTGCCTCACTAATCGTTCCCCTCGTATCCGGCCGCTGCATATATCAGACGAGAATAGAATGTCTCTCTACGTCCACGCCGATTTCTAATTGGTGCTCTATCTATTCATCTATCCAGCCATCTATCCGTCAGTAGTTGCTCAGCTGCTATGTCGTCTCGTCTCGTCTCATCTCACTTTCTTATATATATATTTTTTTATTTTCTCTTCTTCGTCGGCCTGACGAATCCTACGATGGTGAGATGTGAGTGACAGAATAGTTATTTATATCATTATCCGCCTGACTAGATAGATGCCAGAGAGTGGGTTTTAGATCTTGCCGAGGATCGAGCTTGAGGGGAGGAGGAGGAGGAGGAGGAGGAATACATATCAACCGCACGCTCATTCCTTAAGCAAAGCCTGTTCCTTGTATGAAAAAAAGTTTTTTTTCAGAGTTAGGCGGGGAAACATATGGAGACGTATGGATATACATATATTTATATAGATATTCAATGTGCCAGCCGGACCGACACGCTCTTTATATTGAAAAGGCCAAGTACAGAAAGAGCCAATTTGCCTTGCCTTGCCTTGCCTGGCGAAGAGCCTCCTAGGCTAAAAATTCTCTCGAGACTCTTTAACCATGTATTTATCTCTCTCTCTCTCTCTCTCTCTCTCTCTCTTTTATAGACAAACCTTTATTCTAAAAACCCCTACCATACCTACCCGTCTCAGGGAAGCACAACAGCATGCATGCGGCAGGCAATCAACGAATAGACTTGATTGATGTAATAACAGCACTCATATAACGTTACGTGCATATCCATGGGTAGATATCAGCTCGCGCGCGATCCTCAACGATAGGCTGCGGGAGCGGCAGACCCTATATATCTGTACCCAAAAGCCTGGGTGATGGGAGAGAGCTTTGCAGGCAGCATGCAGACATGCAAAGGCAATCGATCAGCCAGGCTTTGAATCCGTCAGGCAGGCAGGCAGGCAGTTAGGCATTCGTGCGCGTACAAGCATGTCCAGTTGCAAGTTTAGATACGCACACATGCACATATACACATATGTCCATGTTTATTCATGTATCTATCTGTTTACAGGCACTGACTAGTTCCACCCCCTCCCTCCTGTTTGCTAGTAATACTTGTCACATGAGGACGCGCGGCTGGCTGTGCTCCGACGTGTGCGGTGCCGGGAGTTATACGGTCGTCTATGTTTATGTATGTATGTACGTGGCCGAGTACTGATTGTCATTTGCGACGAGATTGAGAATCGAGATTTAGATATCATTCTGGATCTCCGGGGGTTTTTTTTCCTGGCCTTGTGTGTGTGTGTATCTATCTGGAATAGAGAGGATGATAAATGAGTGCTTAATTGATAGAGGAGTCTAGGAGAGAATGCAGAGAGAGTGAGAGACACAGAGAGAGAGCTGTCTGCTGGCCTTACTCACTTACTCGCTTGTTCAGATTTACGCAATGCAAGTGCTTGTTCCTCCGTGAAGGCGCTCTACCACTGCGTACGTTAAGATTGGCGAGTACATATCTGAAGCGTTACTGCTGCTGCTGCAAGTCAAGTCAAGTCAAGTCCAGAAAGAAAACACACGCACATTTTTTAAGCGATCGAGTCCATCCCGGCGCCGAAGGGCTGCAGGTACGGTACCCTATCCACTCTGCTGCTAGTACACCAGATCAGATCAGATTGGATACCGTTGGACGCACTGCAGGTTATACGGAGGCAGAAGAAGAGAAACATTGCACCGACATCAGGCGCGATGGACGGGATGAGACGGGCATGTGGCTATCGTAGCGAGGAAATGACAGAAAAAAGAAAAATGATACATGATAGATCATAGATGATAGGAAAGTAGGGGGTTGAAGGGATGGGATAGAAGTAAATTATGGAGGTTGGATGTTTTGAGTCTGAAAGGGGAGGAAAGTATGGGACTTTAATTTTTGTTCGGAATTTAATACTTCATTATCTAATGATTTGACTATCTGTGAGAGAAAGAGAAAAATAGAGGGAGACGATACGATTGTGTTTCTATTGGACGGGAAGTTTCACTCCGGGCTTGCACGCCACATGGATAGACAGGAGGCGCAAGGCAGATACAATTAAGAGCCGACCCATTCTAGTGCGACGTTAAGTGTCAATCCGTAGCACATCGCCCAAATAGGGCATAACAGAAGTATCCATGCGGTTTCGTATATGTTGTAATACAACATTGTAACAAGCAAGAAGCAGTGTCGCTTCGGCTAGTACGTACAGTGTTACCGCTGTCGAGGGCAGTATTGTATTGCTACCCAGAGTACGCTCTGTAGTGAGAAAGAAAGATGAAGGAGAGGAAAAGGAGAACTGGGTACAGGAAGGAGGTCTTATAGGCAGGCATGCCAAGACAGGAACCCAAAGGTCACGAGGTAGCGTGTAACCTATACGCGTATCCAAGGCCTCGTGACCTGCCTTACGAAGTAGCGTCACTACTACCGTAACATCCGGGCTGTAATTAGCATGAGCGAATGAGGAAATTAGCTTAAACGGGAGGGAAAGGGGATATGGTACCGCTGTACAGAGTGAGACTTTCTTCTTTCCTCGCTATCTCTTTGTTCTTCTTCTTGTTATTCTTCTTGTTATTCTTCTTCAATGTTTATAAAAAGACAAGTGTAGATAGGTCCGTGACATCTATCCGAAGCATCGAAGCGGCGCTCTATAGCCGTGACAGAGCTGGCTAGGGATGAATCTAGATTACCTATAAAGCGAAGCGACGTCCTTGCGTAGCACATGCGGCTAAAGTACCGACGTTTATCATAGTCGGCTTTCGATCTTGGCTCAGGGGCTCGCCTAGGTTGTCAACATTGATTGTTGATGCTCGACACATCATCATTTGTAAACCTTGAACATGCCTATCTCCGCTGTGAAGCATTTCAATTAAGGGAGTGAGAAGTACATCGCCTCCAGATATTTTCACATTATAAGAGAGATTCTTACTTTTATAACGGATGATGTGCATTGATTGTTAAGTCCTACCGGCGATTTGTAGATGGCTTATGATCAGAATAACGCCAATATCGCTAGGGAGGCGTGGAAGTTCCGGGGAGTCTGGGTCTATATACCGTCGCAAGATCCTAAGAAAATCAGACGTCCACCTCCTCCGAAAACCCCTCCGAGAATCCGGAAGCGAAGTCACCAGGAGTCACGAGAACAGTTAGTAATCGGTCATAGAGCCATGGCGACCCTGAAACTGCTTGCTTTAAATTTGCTCTCACTCTTGCCCTTGGCCAAGTTGGGCTGGGCATCCCCAAGAATGGAGTTGTGAGTATTTTTCACATAGCAGTCTTTCCACGACTGACAAGTGTACAGCTTAAGCTTCTCGCCGCCCGGATCAAACGAAGAGCCAGAATCCCAATCACGGATATAAATACACACATATACAATCGTATAAACATCACTTCAAACAGAAAGAAGAATCCAAGAAAGGAAAAGGCAAAGACGCTGGGCAAAGACGCTAGGTAAAGACGCTAGAAAGCCTTGGACTCTAGGTATTTCTATCCATTCTTTTCCCGGCCGTGCTTCTCCTCCCCGTTAGTCAAGCGGCAGCGTGAAGGCTTGTTTCTCTTTCAGAATGTGATTGCGAGTAAGCAGGTTATTCATTCTCCTCTTTTGCTTTTCATCCCCCTCTGCTTTGCCTCGTTTTGTATTTTTTTGAGGAATGTGATGGTGTGCATGCGGGCGTTTTGATTATTTGGCCTGTCGAAGAGAATATAGGTAGGCAGATAGGTAGGTAGGTGCCTACAAACCTGTCTGTCTATCTATCTATCAATCAACCTTACCTATAAATCTCTCAGACGGAGCCCTATAAAGAGATTGTGTAATACGCATTAATAATTGGAGGAATGGGAGGCGTTTGAGCGATTTATAGGCGCCGTTGGAAAGCGGGATGTATATATTGGCCTGGGCCAAGTAAGTGAGTAAATGGCCAAATGAGTTTATTCTATTGGATAGGAGGAAATTTGGGTAGGGGGATTAGAGTAGATGGAGTGCTGAGCTGGAGGGCTGTTGGGCGAGGTCTCGCGTTCTGCGGTGGTGTGGAAAACAGATGACTCCGGCGAGGCATCGAGAAGTGGGAGACGTATGGTGGGATAGGATGGGATGCAGTGTGGTTGGATGTGAGTGCGCCTGTTCCTCGGTGGCCTGTGAAAGAGAGCATACACATGTAAGTTCCTTCCGTGACCCCCCTTCCCCCTCCCCCACGCCTGAGACGACCAATAAGATTATATGATATATATAAAATTGTAGATCATCTATCTATCTATCATCTACTTCTAGCTCTATAACCCGGCTCTCAATCAAAGCTTGATGGAAAAAGAAAACAAAAAGAAAAAAATTCTGTTCTTTTTCTTCTCAAGGTGTATTCTCACGCCTACTGAAATGACGAAGAGTAACAGATGAAGAAAACACAACGTGAAGGAGGAAAAGATGGAGGAAATCGCTTCGTTGTGTAATAAAGAGGTACCAGGAAAGCAAGTTAGTTAGTTAGTAAGCGAATACATCTATCTCTCCGATCAGCAAGCGACGAAAGACAAATAGACAAGACGAGACAACAAAGGTACAAGGCTTCAACTCCATACATACCACTCCATTGCAAGTTTTTTTTTTTCTTTCAAGTATAGGCGCACACACACACACACACATATATATATATTCAAAATTGAGTAAACCATATACATGAATACAAATCTTGAAAATGCACAGGCCTGCTGACATCTCCTTCCCTTTTACTTGAAAAGTGAAAGAAAGAAAGCAAAGCCGAAGAACGCCCCTTTCTCTCTCTTTCTCACACACACGCACACACCTACCCTTCCCCAGAATACAACTCCCTCCCTCCGTCCCTCCTTTCCTGCCTCCCAAAAATCCAAGAATCAATATTCAACTCCAATATTCAACAACAAGTAAAAAAAAAGATTGCTAGACCACTAACACAGCCCAGCCCAGCAAATCACAGGCCACCATAAACAGAGAGAAAGAGGGTGAAGATTCTCTCTAAACCCATCTATATCAATCGTGCGTCTGTCCTCCAAGTTATTGGGAAGACATTAGCCGACTTATCTCGCACCCAAGTACCTGACCTAAGGGACCTTTCCTGATTCGTGGTGATGCTTAGGCTAGGGGCGAGGGGAAGGGAAGCGAAGCGAAGAGAGGATGGGGGTTAGGTAGGTAGGGAGATAGGTAGATGGAAGTAAACAAAAGGCAAGATGGGACGACGAGGGTACTCTTTGAAGAGGAAGGAAGGAAGGAAGGAAGAAAGAAAGGAAGCAGGTAAAGCATGGAAAGAGGAACCCGGCTTGCCAAACAGCGGTTGTTGACGGGTATAATATTGAGAATCCATATTCATCAATCCGCTCCCTCCCTCGCTCGCTCCCTACCCGGCCGGTAACGCCTGCAATGCCACATTTCCCTTCCCCCTACATTACGCAATCGGAGCCTCGAAAACCAATGCAACGGCATCATCACCCGCCGTAACGATCCTCGTGCCATCCCCCTGCACGAAACCCAATACGCCTCCCCCCTCGCCTTCCCCTCGGTGGCCCTTCCACTCCCCCAAGAACCCCGAATTCGCAACCCCGGTGCCGCCTCTGGTATCCCACCGCCGCACCACACCGTCCATACCGCAGCTCGTGAGCAGCCAGCCGCCCGTCCGGGAGTTCTTAACAAACTCGACTTTGACGACGCTGTACTCCTCATGTGCTTCCTTGATGTGGCGCCTCACGGCAAACCGGTGCGCCGAGTCGAAGAGAGCGATGGAGCCATCTACGCTACCGGCTGCGAGGAGCGTAAGAGGCGGCGGTGCAAAGGCCAGCGTCTCGATGCCATCTCCTTGAGCTTTCAAGTCCGCGAGGATCTGTCCGCTCTGTCCCGCACTCGCCTTCACGCTGCCCGCGGCTTTATTCCCCTTCGTCTTCGGCGCCATTGGGGCATCGGAGTTCAAGCGTGGTAAGCCCACGACTTTGATATTACCCCCTGCGCCGCCAACGACGACAAAATTCCCCGCGGGAGAGATCGCAACGCTGAAGAGCCCGCCTTCGACTGCGAAGCGCTGGTCAAGAGAAGTCATACCGACGACGTACGCGGATCCCTCGCCTTGTGTGAGGCCCACCAGCGCGGCATCGCCAAAAACGTCCCAGACGTAGAGGGACTCGTCTTCAGAGACTGTCGCGAGTAGCTTGCCGTCCGCGGACCAGCTTCCCGCCGTGCAGCTGCCGGTATGCAGGAAATAGCTCTGTACGATCTGTAACGGGGCGTCTTTGTTCTTGGGATTGACGGTGTATACCCACACACTTCCATCGTTGGCGCCGATAGCAATGGTGTTTGGGGAGGATGGGTTCGGGCAAACGGCCATCCAGTTTATCTCCTCCACTTCTTGCACTTCGCTGATGAATTTCCACTTTGTTGCGCTCGCGTTACTTACGTACGCGCGGAGTTTGCCATCGAGACCACCGCTGAATAGAAATTCGCCCTTGGGGAGTGTGAATGCGAGCGCATTTATCGAGTCCGTGTGGCCTTCCAACTTGAAAACCGGCTCTAAGCCCTTCCGCTCAATCGGCTCATTCGGCGCGCTTCGGTAACTCGCAGGGAGCACAGGTGTAGGAAAGGGTGTAGAGTCGAAGATGTAGCCAATTCCACCTAGGTCATCGCCTTCGCTGCCGCCGGTGGCTATCAGATTGGGGAGGGTGGGATGTTGGGCAATGGCGAAGATGGAGTCGGGGTGTGCGTCAAAGTGGGCGGAGGAGTCGTTCTGCAGCTGGATGATCTCTTGCATCTCATCGTCACCGTCGCCTTCGCCGTCGTTGTCGGAGCCGGAATCCATCGCTGCGTCGCCTTCATCTATAATCTCTTCGGCGGCTTCGTTGATGTCGAGCATGGCTGCTTCTTCGCTCTCCCCGCTGTGCGGATCGACGAAATCGTTGTTCGAGGACGACATTATAATGAAGTTCGCAGTGATAAGTGAGTAGGTTTTGTTATTTGGTGGGAGAATTGGGGTTAGAAACACAGATTTTATGGTGGTGTTCTATAGAAGATGCGTCTGTTGAATTCGGTGATGCTTGATAATCCAGACGGCAAAAATAAAATTCCCCTCCATGACAGAGCCGACCCCACTTTTCACATCAGCTTTGTTTACCCCTCCAAACCCGAAAAAATAATAAAAACCACTAGCAAGAAATGTTGTGCAAAAGCAGACCTGCAATGTACATTGCAGTAACCAGTCCTATAAACCTCAGTCCGCGTTACAAGAAAGGAGAGAAAAAAAGAAAGAAAAAAAAAAGACTGCAATGCAAGGAGCTTCGTTTGACGTAAAACGAAACTTTGGAATACTTACGGAAAAATGTCAGCTCGCCTCTCAAGTCGACTTCACTTCAGCTGTACTCCGCGTTCAAGCATGAAGAAGTCAAGGATAGGGCATCAGACTCGAGCATAATCCTGATCAATAGCCAAGAATCATAGACTCTCTTTTCCAGTAAATAAATAAATGAGTAAATAAATAAATGATACTTCTCGAGAATCTACAGCTTCGCACCCTTCGCCCTTCTCGCCTCCTTCTCCTTATCCCTCAACAAACGTCTCAAGATCTTGCCGCTCGGACTCTTTGGAATGACATCTATAAACTCCACGCCGCCCTTTAACCATTTATGCCTGGTCTTATGCTCGGACACATGTTTCGCAATCTCTCTCGCTACCAATCTGTCGTTGTCTTCGAGACCGACAGAGGAGGATTTCACGATGAAGGCTTTGGGGACTTCGCCGGCAGCGTCATCGGGCACGGGGATGACGGCGCAGTCTGCAACCGAAGGATGGGTGAGAAGGTGGGCTTCGAGCTCGGCGGGTGCGACTTGAAGGCCCTGGATCGTCATGTCAGCGAAGGTTTTCCACACAGCAAAGAGAGGGCTGACCTTGACTTTGATGAGCTCCTTGATCCGGTCTACGATAACCACATGCTCGTTTCCAGCAGGCGATGTGCGGATCACAGCTTCGTCTCCCGTGCGCATCCATTTCCCAAATCCATCCGTGTCATCCAAGAATGTCTCCTTGTTCGCTTTATCGTTGTTCAGGTATCCGAGGACTACAGCTGGGGATTGCACCACTAGCTCTCCAGGCTGATTGTAGCCTGTGATCTCAGTTCCTTCGCTAGAGATGAGCTTGGCTCTGACGCCTGAGATGAGGGAGCCGCTTGTTCCGAAGCATATATCGTTTTCCGAGGTGGAGCAGACGACTGTGCAAGTTTCGGTAAGACCTGGATTCTGTTAGTCAGATGAGTTGAGTGAAAGCGCAAGTACTTGCCATAGCCTTGTCGTATTTTCCAACTTGGGTATACTTTCTGCAGATCCTCTGCTGTTTCAGCACCGAGTGGTGCTGCTCCAGTGAAGATTCCGCGGACGCTGCTGAGATCGAATTTCGAGACAGCTTGCTGGTCCTTGGCCAACTGGATAATGATCGGAGGAACCTGCAATTCCTATCAGCAAAGTCGGAAAGGTCGGAGCCGTGAGGCTCACCAGGTACAGAGTCCGGATCTTATGGATTTGAATGGCCTTTAAGAAAGACTGGAGCTCGAATTTGGGCAAGATGATGACTCCGTCCCCTCGGTAGGTGCTTGCCTGAGCAATGACAACTAACCCATAGATATGGCTGAGGGGCAGGAGACCGAGTACTACCTCGGTCTTCTCGTTCTCGGGTCTAGCGTCGCGAGCAGGCTTCTCAGCGAGGCCGATTTGGATGACATTGGAAATCACGTTCTTGTGACTGATCATCACGCCTTTCTAAAGCAAGAATTAGCATCTCCCTCTTATCCACAACTCGAGTGCAGCTTAAGCTTACAGGCAAACCAGAGGTTCCACTAGAGTAACAGAGATAGGCCGTTTGCCTCGCACCCTGTCCCTTCTCCCACTTGAGCTCCTCCAGCTCGGGATTCTTGCTACCAGCTTCGATTAGCTGCGACACTGTCTTGAAAGGAACAGGCTTGGTCCCTGAGAGCTCTTTAGGGAGCTCAAGGATGTAGATGCGGTTGTTCGGGATCCCGACAGCCTTTGCTGCTTGTAAGGAGATGTCGAGGAGGGGGATGCACTGTTTGGCAAAACATCAACTGCTTGCTACCAACCGCATTCAAAAGGAAGACTTACAGTGAAAAGAGCCTTGGACCCAGAAGACTTTAGCTGGAACTCAAGCTCTGAGGCAGAGTATGCGGCGTTGGCAGGTGTTGCGACTCCATTCAGTCGGTGCACTGCGTATGCTAATGTCATGGAATCTACCTGCAAAATACTCATCAGTCCTGCATTTCGCATGTTATTATTTGATTTATTATGGTAGTACGAGTGCATACGGTATTGAGAGCAAATATGCCCACTACTTTATCCCATTCTGTTCCAGCATTCGGCTGCCATCCAAACTCCTTTGCTAGACCTCTCGCCAGATAGTCTACCCGCTCCACCATCTGCGCCGAAGTGTAAGTCCTCCCTGAAAGACCGCATGTGAATGGGTTTCGCGATTGCGCGAGAGGGCGGCGTCCATAGGAGTCGTCGAGCATAAACTGGGAGATGGGCACAGTGTCGGGGACTGCGAGGTGGAATCAGCATCCTGCCGTATGTACTATAACCTATATAATGATCAAAATCGCGACTCTTACTCGGTGAAAGCTTGGGAACCCAGTCCGGCGGATAGAAAACCATGGTGAAGAGAAGTCAAGAATCGTTTTTGGAGAGGAATGCAAGAGTCGGACTACTTATTGGCTGGGTATTGGGATTGGCAGGCGCGGGGACTGAGGGTTGATTTGCTTGAACTTGGGCTTTTTGGTTTCTTCTTTCTAGCACTTCGTTCGACTTGGTATTTGTGTTTCTTTTGTTTGACGTGGTCTATTATACAGAAAGAAGAGCAAGAGTCTTGCTTACTCACGGAGCTGCTTATCCGTACCCCCTCCCCCTTTTTGCGGAAGCGCTGGGCTTGATGGCCGAGGTCCCGAGGTGCTTGTAGCTCCACAGGCTGATTGCAGATCTGCAGAACTGCAGAACTCTGCGACTTATCCGTACATTGGACCTGATCATGTATCACATTTGAATGGTATTGTTCTTTCTTATACGCAATGGACTTCTTGAAGCTGCTCTATTAATGTCAACGCTGATGGGGGATGTAGGAGTAGACATCGGATTGCTCTGCAATATCTATCTACACTGGCGTAGAGATGTAACCTTGCGAATAGAGAAATCAAGCTGGGTATATCCTTTGTTGATACGATCGAGCCCTTCCCTAAGCTTCGCCAATAATGGAGCTGGGGCCATCAAAAGGTCTGCCTTAAATGTCGGACCCAGTTTAGGCCCATAAATCGTAGAGCGGTGGTTTCTTAATGGCTCAAAGCCCTGTTGACTCCACTGTATAGACTAAATACTGGCTCAAAGATATAAGTTGATTGGGTTAAGCTCTGGTAACATTCCTTGCGAATTTATACTTTCGACATTTATTTATGGGAGGGGGTAGTTTGCAGGTGGAGCTGAGCCGCAAGATAACGACAAGTTCCGTGCGTAACGAGGCGAGCCTTTGAGGATCTTTCCCAAATAACGTCTCCTGCTCCGTACTCCCTAGACAGCCACCCAAGAGCCAAAGCTAGTCGCCACTATACTGAGATCTGGTCTATATCAATCATATTATCCTTTGAGCGTGCCTGGGCTGCAGAAGACGACAAGAGCTGTGGCATGAGGGTTGACGATGGGTTTTTTCCTACTTGCACATCCATTAGCCGTCAGGGCCCAGGGAGGAAGTCGAGGCATTCTGAGAATCCTAGGGGCCTGGTCGGTATCCTTAAACGCCCTTGAACGCTTTCAGAGAAGGAGATGACTTGAACAAGTTCATTCTTTGGGGTGCAGTAGCAGCAGCAGAGCTGCTGGTCCCGCTAAGAGCAGCAGCAGAAGCTTCTTTCCGTATACACGGCTTCCAGAGAATCTCCAAGTCCGGTACATGAGGCTGAACCTGACATCTCCAATGTTATGCCCTGGAGTGGCATGGAGATATGGAGGTATAGAGGCTCAAAGGCGCTGCTCTCGAGGTTTTCTGCTGCTTGGGGATTGCATTGAATATATCCTCCAAAGGCATTGATTGACGCCATAGATCTCAGTCTTGCTCTTCCTGTCCCGTGCGCATGCCATTCTCGTATCTCCTTTGTCCATCTCTCAGGCCTGTTATAGTTCCTCCTTGTAACCGTCCATTGTCTTGTCTTCTCTATGCTTTCGTGACTTGCATGGCTTGGTTCCGCTGGCGAGGTCATCATTAGTGGCTGTCTGGTTCCGGATCTCTCATCTTTCATCTCAGCTTCATGCTGCAAGTCGATACACGCTCTGTGAAATTCCTATGATAGTTTCAGCCTGTGACAAGGACAAATGTCGAGACTGCGGTGATAAGGAGCTTCTCTGCAGGCCTGTCCCTTTTGTCGGTCAATAAAAGATGGAACCCGAACTGATACTCTGGAGTCGGGAGATTTCTTACGCAGACTCTATCTGCCAGGGCGAGTAGACCTTACTATTTCCTATGATATAGACTCTTGACATGTATCTATTGCTTCCTGTGCTTTCTTGAACTTGTATACGCTGGCTGCTTCTCTGTTTGACGTACGTCAGCTAAAACCTGCTAGTCGGGCTGCATCACCCAGCAAATCGCTGTACACCTTTCCACCTACTGCTACCTCCTCGAGTCCAAGATTCACTATCGTCTCTCGTCTCTCGACAAGCTATATATGCGCATCTTTCGGCCTCTAACGGCAGTGAATATCTGATTGAATTAGAGGTTCCTGCCCTTCAACAGCAATATTCACGCTATTCCTAAAGTGGCTTCCGCCGGTCACGCTTTTCACTAATTTAGCTCCGATAGTGGGTCGACCGTCCCTACCATATTTGACTACTTAAGAAAATCCCCTCGACTCCCCCTCCTACTTTTACTTCTTCTCTACAACCACATACATTTTACTTCTTCCTCCTTTCCAGACTTCCTGATACTCCTCGATCAAAATCCTTTACCTCTTCGATACTCTTTCAATACATACTCCGACAATTCTGTGACTGCAGTTCAACTTCTGCGCCCGCCGACCATACTGCGTCGTCCTACAGAGTACTACGTTGATCTCGATCTGAGAAGGTCCTTTTACTTTGTTCTTTCACCTTAATCATCACTTCGGTTTCGACGCGTTTCACGCATCTCTTCACTCTAAGGAGACCAATCCTTACCAGATTCAATCTTCGATTCCGGTTCCGACTTCACTTTAATATACCTTCTCGGGTACTTAAAGGTACCCCATCTCCTTTCCCTTTCCTTCTTCTCTTCTACACATACAATAGTCTTTTCCCTTTTCAACCTCTTCGATCTCTATCATACTTTACTTCAATACTTTTCCTTCCTTCTACTCTTGTCCTACCTTACACTACTACACACAACGCGCTCTTACCTAACCATAGATATCTTTCTTCTCCTCGGTTCCCCTTCATATTGCGACGACGACTCTGACTTCGATCCTACGTCCAATCGAAACACCATCAATCTGCGACGACGTCTGTCTGCTCTTCAGCTTTCGATTCCCTGAACCATATGACGTGTAAGTTAACAACGAGTTCGGCTTTAGCAGTCAATTCAGTTTTCCGATCTGGCCATACGATTTCAGTTTTACTTCCCCTCTTACTTTCAAACTCTGCTAACTTTTCACCAGTCGAAACTCACTATAACTACCCCATACTCTTCGAATTCATATCCAAACCTCTTCGACTTTCTGCCTTTGACGAAGCATATCTTCGAAATGGATACCCAATACTTTTCTGATATGTCTGAGGTCCTGAACTCAGACTTGCCATCAAAGTCCTTTCTACGCACACCTGAGAGATCTCTGATGGTCAAGTTGAAATTCGGAGAGCCTAACAAACTCAAGCTTGCCTATGTATGTCATTTTCCATGATTCGCTGAATCGTCATTGAAAAAATGCTGATACTATGGTAAAGATCCTTGCCACACAATGCGACTCTCGCAATTTGGTGGAGCATAGTCTCGGGGATGCTGAGCATGAAATAGCTCTGCTTGTCACTCCTCCTCCAGAGTCTTCTGAGTCCCGCCAGTCTCTCAAGCGTGGCGCTGAGGGTTTTGGTCTTCTTGACTATGGCTTCACCAAGAAGCGCATCGTTGCAGATGACGATGACGAGCAAGCCGATAATAAAGCTGATACTGCTCCAGCAATCAAGGTCAACGTTCCCAAGGCTAAATTTTCCAAGACCAAAGTTCCCAAAGTCAAGGTCAAGGTCAAGTCAAAAGCTATCAAGATCGCTCCTGCTGACCGCAACCTCACACTCGACAAGCCCGAACCCTTCGGCCAACCACCAATCTGGTCTGATAAGCGTCAGGCATTGTGTGAGGCTCTGCCCTATTACAGAGCTTATCAAGCCGGTGCCTACTCTACCAACAATATTGTCTACGGACTGCTTTGCGACAAGGGTGTCTATGCTCGTGATCACATCGATGACCATGTGGTTATCTGCAGCGTGTAAATTCTTCTTTTTTTGTGTTTCTACTCACATAGCTAACAGGTTCTCAGGGGCGGCGGCAAAAAAGCAGATGACGAAACTGGTGAAATGAGCCTCGGTGGAGGCCATAAAGTCGATCATAACATTGCTACATACTTCCGCAGATCTATGGATGGACAGCAAGCTGTAGCGATTATCATTGGTAAGTGATCTCTTCTCTTCCCAAACCACTATCTAACCTCGAAACTTAGGCCAAGGAAACACCAATTGCCCAGTCAAGCTGGACCACTGCTATAATGTCATGGACATGTTTCATGTCACCGATGTGTGGTACGACCGATACGAAAAGAAGTGCTGGATGGTTCGCCTTGAAAAGATCGATTTGGACGTTCGATCATGGTGGAGTCCCAAGAGCCAGCCAACTGCCCAGCAAGACCCTACTATCAGAGCAGTCGTCCAAACATGTGATACCTGCAATCAACCATCCAAGCAGATCTACTCCCAAGGCTGGACTTGCACGAACCCACACTGCAAGGATCACTTCAACTTCGGCATTGGCTTTGACCACAAGACTCTCGAATACAGCCAGGCTTTCTTGCAAGAGCGCCACCCATTCCAAGCTACTGTCCCCAATCTTGTTCCTGCTCTGCCTTGGAATCTGCCTGCTCAGAGTGCAGTAATCAAGAAAGGCATGGTATGCCCCGTCTGCCGCTGCTGCAGTCGCAGACTGCATTGGAACTTCTGGCAATGTGAGAACCCCGAGTGTGATTTCAAGCAGGATGCAGTTCAGCAGATCTTGACTGTTAGCGCGGCTTCGACGTCAGTCAAGACAATTTCTGAAGTCATGGCCGGTGGAATTATCTCTGTCCAATTCTCACTGGGCGCTCATCGTCCTCGTAACACTCTCTACCTGATTCCGGACGAAGCAAGAAAGACAGTTGGGTTTGTTGCGGTACTAAAGTCAAGTTCTGCCGTCAACGCTCGTGCTGGTGGCCCGGATGATCTCTTTGCTCAGTTGCAGATGGCTGAGATTCAGATGAAGCGCAATCCGGCTAGACAACGTGGAGGTAATTGTGACTCACCCCAAACCAATGGTGCTTACTGACATTTTCGCAGCTCCTGGAGAAACCGTCACATCGCATTTTGGTCGCAACTATGTAAGGATGTCCTATGTCTTTGATTCTTCTGGTACTGACAATTCTGCCAGGGTGCAACTTACAAGTTTGGCGTCCCCCAAGAGTCGACGAGCTTCTCGGATGCCCCAGATGTTATGTTGGAGATCCTCGCCAGAACCAGCTGGGCATCTCAGCAGGCTATCGCCTACGCTACACAAACCGTTGATGAGAACGACTTCAAGGCATGGACCCCGCCAAACGAATTGCTCTGCTTGGGATACGGTACTAATTGCAAGATCGGCGTAAGTGCCTCCCCCACTTCTTTTCCAGATGTTGCTAATTCAAGTCAGTATCACGATGACGGCGAGAAGACCTTGGGCCCTACAGTAACCAGTCTGTCTCTTGGCTGCCCTGCTAGCATGAGCTTCCGACCCAAGGCCAAGACCAGCATGGGAAGTAGCAAGAACCAGACGGGAACGAAGCCAGACTGTCTCAAGTTTACCCTGGAGCATGGTGACATTATGGTCATGCACGGCCCCAAGATCCAACAGCTCTACGAGGTAAGTTCCCCATGCATGCTCAAACTCGAAGATGAATACTGACTGCGATCGTAGCACTCTGTCACGCCATTCGGTCCTCTGCGCTTTGCCTTGACCTCTCGCACTATCTTGTTTGACATGATCGGCGTCAACGACGGTCGGGACATCGCCATCAAAAATGGTCAGATCCCTCGCCGTGCCGAGCGATTCCAGTACGATGGCCAGTGATGCGTGACCATACCTACACCACTTGGCGATGGCGAGGACGGGAGTGGAGTGGTTCTTCGCTGCGTAATGCGCATCGCATCTTTTCTTTTCTTCTCATTTGAGACATCTCTTTTTTTTTTCCCCTCCCACACATACACACCTTCGTGAGAGAAGGCCAAAAGCATCTTTCTTGCTCTTCAGACCAAACATTATCACGATTGCATCTTGCATCTCATGTACACTATTAGCTACATCTTTTCAGCTGGAGGAAGCGACATACCAAACTGGGGGGGGGATGGATTTTTGACACTGGGGGCAAATACTGGAGCCATTTGCAAAGGGTGGGAGGGGTGGATACTGCATCTTACAAGCCGTCTGGACCTTCTTCATACCGAGCAAATTGCTTGGCTTATCTAGCATACTTAGAATGAACGCAAAAGTTGATTCCACCCTTGCGGCTTTCTGGATGTGACGACCCTGTGGTAGCCAGTGTTTGCGTGATGAGACGCTTGTTTTTATTAGCAAGATGCTACTATTCCTGTTTGATTCGATATCTGATGGCGGGGTTTCTCTTGTCAGTTCGAAGTTGCGACTATAACTAACGCGAAAGCTTGCTGGCAAATCAGGAATAATGATTTTCATTTGAGTTAGTACTGGGGGGGGGGGAGGGACGCATCATGCGTATAATACAGATACAGATCCACATACACTTCTTTTCTGTCGGCTGTCGGGACGTGGGGGGTTGATCACAGCCTGGCTAAATGAGCGATTGATTTAGAAAGATGATGAGGAGGTGTTAGAAGTTAGGAGTTGAGAAGGAGAGCGGGATAGGTGGAAGATAGGTGGATGAAAAGGTAGTATTAAAAAAAAGGGGGGGAGGGGGGGGGGTTGGTGGTAGCGCTTACAAGGTAGCGCTTACAAGGAGTGGAAGGGAGGGGGTTCAAACGACAGAAAGAAGGTATGGCATGGCATAGAATAGTACAATAGTCGGAAAGATAAAGCAAGGCTTATATCCTTGTTTCGTTGTTGAAAATCAAGCCCGAAAAGGGGAACGAGTGAGTACAAAAGCAAACAAGCAAATAAGTAGACGCGGTTGAAAAATTTGACCATTCAGACTAAACTATACACGGACTTTCTCTCTCTCTCTCTCTCTCTCCTATCATATCAGAGAGAGAGATTTATCCCTTGCGATGCGCCGCTACCTACCTATTACTCCGGTTTTATATAGAAAGATTTATGTATGTATACTTGCTCAATCCGTTCTCGTTGTTGTTGTTGTTGTTGTTGTTGTGAGCAAAATATCATCGTACGTAGTACCGGTAGAATCGACTCGATGCTCCAGCGATGGAGTTGCAAAATGTGTGCAAAATGCGTGCAATCCGACCTTCCCCCGAGGAAATAAAACGCCTCGCTAAATCCAGACCTGACCCGACCCATCCAGACCCATGCCATGCCATGCCATCCCATCCCATCCTGTCCCATCCCATCTATGTTCCATGAACTACCTCCCATTCCCGATATCCCAATACCCATAGAGCCACACCCCCACCCCCCTCCTTCTATTCCCATTCGTTAACGCCCAACGCATCAGTCCAGACTCACCGTCATCTTTCCCCGGATCCGCTCGCCGTACCGCCAGAAGACCCACGGGACGGGCACCAGAGCCAGGGCCACGGAGCCCAGTAGCGTGTTGCCCCAACCGAAGCCCAGCGCGGCGTACATGGGCTGCCCAGCCAGCGGCAGCAGGGCGCCGAGCAGGGAGCGGAGGATGGTGACGGCGGCGACGGCCGAGGCCGCGTATTGCGTGTAGGCGTCTACGAGGTAGGACTGCACGGGGAGCTTTGAGAGGGAGGAGGGAGACGAGTCAGTTGAGATTCGGAATTGGCACCAAGGAGGTGTGAGGGAGGGATGGGGGTTTCGGGAATGAGATCCGTGGGGATGGATGGTATAGGGGTGGATGTGAAGGAAACTAGTACGGACCATGACGCTCAACATCCCAAACGCGATCAGCACCGTGCCGAAGATGGGCACCAGCAGGTGTTTGTCGGACTCCGCGCTCCAGCCGTACCAGAACAGGCCCACGGGCACGAACAAGCTGCAGTACATCAGCGCCGGCAGTCTGAATTCGGGCTTGCCCACGCCGCCGTTCTTCGCCTGGTAATGCATGTAGATCTTGTCGGAGGTGCCCCCGATGACCATGACGCCCAGGATGGAGCCGACGCCCAGCCCCAGGAACATCAGGCCCGCCGTTCCAGTTGTGAGGCCGTAGATACCGATGAAGACCGGCGTCAGCGTCGTGAACAAGAGATAGAGCAATCCGTAGACGAAGGCGACGTGGATGCTCAGCAGCGCGACGATGGGGGACATGAACAGCATCTTCAGGGGCCGCTTGAGCGCGTTGGCGAAGACGGTGCCGGCCGGGAGGTCGCTGGCGTACTTGGAGCGGTAGGCCGGTTCCGAGTGCTGCTTGCGCAGAGAGGCGGCCCGTCGCGCGAGCAGCGTCGGCGAGTACGTCTCGTCGAGGAAGAAGAGGGAGACGAAGGTCACGACGAGGGAGCACGAGGCCAGGATGCGGAAGACCCAGCGCCAGCCAATGCCCTGGGTGATGAAGCCGCCTGCGATGGGGCCTGTTTGTTGACGTTAGCACGTGATGCTCGAGAAGCTACAAAATATACATGCTATAGGAGTGAAAACAGGTTTAGAAGCACCAATTATCGGGCCTAGCAGAGGTCCCACTGAGAAGATGGCCATCGCGCCTCCGCGCTTCTCGGCCACCATCAGGTCACCAATCGAGCCGGCCCCGATGGTCAAGGGGGCCACGCCTGCGCAGCCAGCGAAGAAGCGGCAGGCGAGGAGCATATGCAGGTTCGTCGCCTCGCTGCAGGCGATGGTGAAGATGAAGAAGAGGACGTTACAGCACTGGTACAGCTTCTTGCGGCCGTAGAGCTCGCACATGGGCGCAATGATTCTGCAAATGCCCAGTCCCAGGGGTCAGCGGAGTCCTGGTCACATGACGGGCCCGGGGGGGAGACAAACAGAGGCCCGATGGCGAAACCAAGGATATACACCGAGACGACGAAAGAGGAGATGATCCGGTCGTCGGAGTTGAAGTCCTTCATCAGCTGTGGTACGCCGGGTGCGAACATGGAGGATGCGAGAGGTCTGTAGATGGATGATAATGATGATGGACTTGGTCAATTCCCGTTCCTGTTCACGTGTTTTGGAGGAGGAGGAGGAGGAGGAGGAGGAGGCATTGAATGAAGAGAGGGTCACGTACGTGATAAACGTGATGGCGCTGACGATCCAGAGGTTTTTCCATTTCTTGAAGCTGCTCCATTTCGTGGGCTGCTCCAGGTCGTTTTCTCCCCAGTCCACGATGAATCGCGAGTCTGGATCCGCATCCGCGTCGGTTTGGTTCGGGACGGGCGATGGTGCTCTCGGCCGTCGCAGCGACGAGCCATCGACGACAATGGTCTCCGAGTCGCTCTCCTGCGGTTCGCTCTCTGCCGTCTTGGGCGCTAATCGGATCGAGCCAGCCTCGAGGTCGATCTCTGAAATGCTGGGCGTGCCTGGCATACTCATACTACTGAATCCGCACCGGTGAAGGAGATGGACGTGGAAAGCTGCGCGCGCAACGTCGAGGTAATTATCGCGTCGCAACCTCTGTTCTGCGCGAGCCTTTTTCTCGGGGCATCCGGAGTGCGCCAAGTAAACAAACTGCTCGCTTGGGAAAATACGGTATACGGAACGTAGGTCGGGTCGGTAGGCGCAGTCACATCCGCGGGGTCAACTCTACTCTAGAGTATACTCGCGAGTAAGGTCCAACTTGGGGGGGGGGGGGGGAAAGAGGGGAAAAAGGGAAAAAAAAATTACATCAACTTGCCGTAACTCTGCAGATACGCAGTTGTACGGATAGATTGAAGTATATACCACCCTCCCCCCTTGAATAAGTATCATTGTCTGTGCCATCCTGGGGTTGCTGTCCCGATTTCAGATAAAATGATAAAATGTGATGGAACCTCCGCTCGGTGCGTCGCGCAACTCGTGCAGACCCCTTTTATTTTTCTCGGGTCGATGCGGCCCAAGCCAAGCATCTTACACCATATATCTGCGGCGAGGCTTCCTGTGTAGGGAGATGGGGTCCTCCATGACTAGAAGCTGGTGACAGCTCTATGTAGTAATTTTTGTTTCATCGATCCTAGGACAGTAATTACTGTACTTCTAAGTATAAATTAGAGCGTTCGAAAGCATCCCCCCTGATATTCGGACTTGGACTTGAGTGCTGGTGAGATGGACAGGTCACACAACGGCATGGGATGGAAGGATAGCGGGCCGCTCCAACCTCGATACGAGTACGCCGTTGGGGCTTGGCCTCTTGGTGGAAAACGGCCCTGGTCCTTGGTCGGATACGAAGCAGGCGGGGTTCCGTATCTAGATCCAGATCACGGAGGCTTATACCGGTATCCCGACGAAGAACGACGTGCCATTTTTAAACACACGGGAAAAGCCAGGATGGGAGAATCAGAGATATACTACTATACTACATACGTAGTAGTATATGACCCCCCAAGAAAAGCTTTGCGTGAGAAATATGCAAACGCGGTTTCTAGAAAAAACGTACAAGAGATAGTCAGGCCCCATTTCAGTACTTCCTCCGTAAGTACTACGTAAGTTGCCTTTGCGTAAGTAAACAAGCATGCCACGGCGGGTATCTTCGCGCCACGCTATCTTGTCGCGAGCTGTTGTGTGGGGTCCTCACGTATCTCGCATTCGCAAAGGAAAACCCCTAATTCTGACCTACCGATTTGATTTCGTAACGGAAATTCACGGCATATCGAGTAACCTTTTTCTTCTCCTCACGCCTCATGCCTCAGACGTCGCGCAATGAACGACCCTCTCCTTAGACCTTGACGATCATCCACCTCTCGGATCCCACAGCCAAGGCATCTCGTTGCTTACCACCGCGCTTGCGTCCAGCATTTTCACCGCCGTTTCTCGACATCAGCTGTCGGCACCACCCGGTACTCGAATCTTTTTCCCTTCTCCGGAACCCTCCCTCTGGACAGAGAATACGGGTATGGGAGATAATCGGGGAGGAGTCGCCAGCTGGCGGAGGGTGGACGCTTGGTCCCACGCGATGTGCTCGTGGTAGAGACGGTCGCCGCGGATGTTGACCACGGAGGACCACGGAGGACCACGGAGGACCACGGAGGTAAACGGAGGGAAACGGAATTGCGAAAGTGGGGGCCTGTCGGGGATGGGGGGGGGGAGGGTGCTGCCTGGGATACTGTGTGTGTCCCTCACGTAGATGTGGTGGACGGTGATGTGAGAAGGCAAAGGCAAGGAGACGCACCGCCAGTCAATAAGTCGGTTATGGGTGGAGCTAAATGTGAACTCGTCAATCACGCGATCGGTGCCTGTCGTGCGGCTAAGCAGCTCGAGTGGGCAGTGTCTTTTGGATTGGCGAAGATGAATTGGTCGGTCGTGGTAGAAAGCAGTGCGAGCTGCGCGGCCAATGCTACCGGTCATCTGCATCATCCATGAGCGAGCATCTTGGGTGAGGGTCTTTGTAAGACATATCGTCGGAAGCATAGTTTACGTACGGCTCTTCAACACTATCGTAACCATGGTCTTCTTCACATCCCTCTCCGCAAAAGCCAAGCGACAGTGCCCATCCCGGATGGCCTCGAGATCAAAATACGGACCTCCGAGGCGCTTCTTCAGGAACCCCAAGGCTCGGATGTGAGCTACAACTGCTGGACCGGCTTCGTAGTCAACGTGGCCCGGCAAGACGAAGTTTTCCCCGAGGAGGGGATCGTCGTATGTGTGCAGGATGTGGGATTTCACTATCACGAGGCAGGAAGTGATTTCGGTGCTTGCCGGTGCCATGGACCATGACAGGAAAATCGGGTCTGGTGTCAGAAGAGAGATCGAAGGCGACGACTGCCGCTACAGAAGGGGCATCATTGAAGAAGAATCAGAGCCTGCTCCATGTCATGAAATTGCCGGCGTTGTCGAAATAGTATACTGGTGGGTGTCAGTCAGTGAGGTAAGCCCAGCTTTCGAGCGCGATGACTGTGAGTATCACCGGAGTTCAGTATGGACTTTGCTGAAGAAGGTGGAAATGCTAGGTACCTACCACCCCATCTTCCGGAAAGGCGTAAGCCGGGATAGCTCCCGAAGTCTGTTAACAGCAAGTTCACAATCCCTATCCACAACGCAACTCTCCTGATCATCCATGTCTACTGAAGCGGCTCGGAATCTAGCATCTTGTTGACATCGGCCGAGGTCCGTCCCTGGGAGTTTTTCGAAACTATGAGCAAGAGTCCTGGCTCTCCCATCTTCTTGAGGATGAGGGTCGGGTGGTGGTGAGGTCATTGAGCACGATTGGTTTAGCAAAGCGTCGCAGGATAGCCGAATCTGGAGTTGGGAGATGCATTATTGCTGGTCGATCTTTGTGGAGAGTGGGTGTGTTGAGGTGTTGAGTTGTGGAGGGGTTCGGAAGTAACGACATTGCAGGTGGTACTACCGCTGAGATGAGCGGATGTTTCCAGGTTGGGCGAGCACTTCAAGGGGGGTTTGTTGACATTGGAGGAGGTGGAAGGTGGGCTCTGCTTGGGCTGCTCGGCTCGGATGCCTGTTGAGATGCTTTCTGTTCCTCACGAAGCGTTCTCGCTCTTCCATCTCTCACTTATTTCTATGTTTCAAGATGTGTATATGCTCACTGTTTCACGACAAAACAATGCCTGAGGTCTCTCTGTCCTGGGGCAACGGAGGCGAGTGTTGGTCATGTAATCCGTTTTTCTCCTGTTTACCTATGTTTCTGCCACCCGCGCTTCTCTCTTTTATCTTCTATCTTTTCTTACTCTTCTATCTCTTCTTGCTCTTCTATCTCTTCTTACTCTTCTATCTCCTCTTGCTCTTCTATCTCTTCTTACTCTTCTATCTCTTCTTCCTCTTCTTCCTCTTCTTCCTCTTCTTCCTCTTCTTCCTCTTCTTCCTCTTCTT